TTGTTCATGTTAACTTCAGTTTAGTTACATGTATCTAAATTAAATAATTATGTATGACTGTTCATGTTTTTTTCAGTTTATCCGAATGTTTTAAAATTAGAAATTATGTATAAATTTAATATTTATTTCAAATCAATTTACATATTTGTTTTCGTTGGTATAGAGTTGTATTATGATGAACCCTAAATTCGCTGTGAAGTTGAGGAAGATGATAAGCGTTAGACCTCTTTCGCACTCGAATTTATTAGTGAACAGAAAGCCAAAGGCGAAACCCATAAATATTAAACACAACCGTAAATGAAATGCAGAATATTGTGAGAGAGGACACATGTCACGCTGAAGTTAAGCGAATTGATGACGTGGTGCGTCCTTAAGTGAAAAACTGTACTTTATATATACAGATTTAAAAATTATACTAATGTATTAAATTTATAAACATCTAACTGATAAGGTGGCTTGAAGAGAAAAGATAAAACTCTTCTTATTTTCTCCTACCTTCAATAGGGGAATAACAAAAAGAAGGATACACATGAATGTGTGCCTTTGGAGAATCTTAGTAATTTTGTGCTTCTTTTATATGTGGCATTTTAGATTTGAAATATTGTGGATCTGTTGTTTTCCATATGTTTTACCATTTCAGGTGACCTAATTTTAACTTGTCGTTCAGTTGAACAAAATGGAACGACCCTTCTTGTTCAAAATATGTATTCAACTAACTTGGATCTTTTGTTTTGTTTTTTTTTTGTGTGTTTTGTCTCTATTTTTTTTTAATTTCATTAGATAAATCGATCAATTTTTAACACTGGTTTAGCCTAAAAAGCTCAAAAAGAAAAAAGATTAACATAAAAGCAAACTGAAATAATGTTATGTTCTTTTGACTAAAAATAATATTATTTAGGAGGATGTATTGAATCAATGATTTTATGAGACTTTGAGTTATTATTAAAATCTTCTGTTATTCAATTAAGAATTTTAAGCTTTTTTCTAAAATCCCATGTTATTGAACATGAAATTTATATAAAGTCATTTAAAATCATTTACAATCCTTTGTTATTCAAACAACAATTTGTTAAAATCATATCAAATCCACTGTTATTGAAAATAGGTATTGGAATTTTAATGACTACATAGGATTTTAGGAGATTTCTTTAGTTAAAAATATAAAGATCTAAATCTCACGGTTTTAGATGAAATTTCAGAGAATTTTAATACAATGGGAGATGTATTGAATCAATGATTTTAGGAAATTTTGAGTTTTTATTAAAATCTTCTGTTATTCAACTAAGAATTAAAAAAAAAAGTTTTCTAAAATCCAATGTTATTGAACATGGAATTTATGTAAAGTCACTTGAAATCATTTAAAATCTTCTGTTATTCAACCAACAGTTTGTTAAAATCATATTAAATCCACTGTTAAAGAAAATGTTTTAAGTATTGGGATTTTAATGACTACAGAGAATTTTAAGGTATTTATTTAATTGAAAGTACAAAGATCTACATCTCGTGGTTTTAGATGAAATTTCTGAAGATTTTAATACAAAATCATAACAACTACTTTAAAATCACCCAAAACCATCAATATCATTTAAATTCTTATTAAACGTCAAATCACTCTAAATGTTTAGTTCAATACATCCCCCAAAATCATAACAACTACTTTAAAATCACACAAAACCATCAAAATTCTTATTAAAAGTCAAATCACTCTAAATGTCTAGTTCAATACACCCCCCCCCTTAGTTCTTTTCGTGATAAAGTACCTTGTTAGCATACATGCGATCGTTCATGAATTTAACCAAAACAAGGTAGTACATAGTATTGTTTCGATGTTTGTATAAGAATAAATCTATTATTGCGTAACAAACTCACTCAAAACTTAAGCCTTTCTCAATCTCATACAACTCACGCAATTTCATTGACTCGAGATTGATTTATAGAAAACGACACATACCCTAATCTTAATTGGAACACTCATAATTTGATAATACACTTTGATCCTTGTCTTTAAAGATCATAAACCTATTAGGATTAGGATTGCTTGTCATTCAAGCTTTTTTCAAGCTTACTTTAACATTTTTCCCCTTAAACTTGAATTTCATATCTTTCAAATCTTGGATTCCAATCAAGTCTCTCATCTCTTTGTACTTGCTACATACCTCCCCTTGATCGCATCTCTTTTTGCCGTGTCAAACTCTCCAATCTGTAAGATTAGCGATTCAGGTATTGACTGGAACTATAACGCCATAGCCATGTCATTTTTGTCGTCGTTCTATGTTTCAGTTTCTACGATTTTTCAGACCTTGTGTACCCTCAGAAGAATCCTCATTCTCATAGCCCACGAGATGTAATTTGTTGCGTTTAATATAGCCATATAGGACACTTGGTGGAGGAAGATCTTCCTTCTTTCGCCATTGATGATGATGATACCACAAGCTCACTCATATTTATCGAAACCTCAAGCTTTGATACCAATTATTGTTTCAATGTTTGTATAAGACTCAAAGATTATATTAATAACTCTCTTGTTGCTTAAGAAATTCACTTAAAACTTTTCAAATCCCCACATCTCCTTTTAACCAAGCGAGGACGGCCTAGTGGTTTTGAGAGAGCTTCGACCCCAATACGGACTCTAGTTCGAATCCCGCTGCCCACTGCGGATAAAATTTAAAATCTGGACTCCCCCAGCGTCCGGTGACCGAGGCGTACTCCGGCCGATAACGTAGGCTGATACGGACACTCGCCGCTAGTCTGGATCCACCTTGGTGGATGCCAGGATACACCGGGTTATTCAAAAAAAAAAAATTCACTTAAAACTTAAGCCTCTCTCAGTCTCATACAACTCACACAATGTTATTGGCTCGACATTGATTTAGTTATCTCCTAAATACACTTTGACCTTTATTTCTAAAGATCACAAACCTATTAGGATTAGGATTGCTTGTCACTCAAGCTTTTTTCAAGCTTACTTGAACACATAGAAGAACATCCATAATGCATGAACTGCCGTGTTGTTTTTTCTTACTTTTCTAATACATATGCATTGACTAATTTCTATATAGAATACAATTCCGTGCAGAGTTATTCCCAACATTATTTAACCATTTCTAAAAACAAACAATTCGGTGTGGAATTATTCCCAACATTATTTAAGCTCTATATCAGAACTGTTGAATAATATATTTTGTAGTGATATATGAGATGCATGCATCAATCAGAGTATTAGAAAAAGACTAGATCGAGTCTAAGATCGACAGCCAGTCAATATAAAAACGTGCAAAAAAGGGAATTAGGAAATATACAATCGATTCCTTAAAATTAGTAGAAGAGACTCAACACTTGAAAGATTATTATTGCATTACACCCAACAAAAAAAGACTAGCCAATTTTTTACTCAAAAAAACTTGTTCACACCCAAATCAACCAAATTAATAGAAGAAATTCAACTGTTCACACCCAAATCAACCCAGTTATTAATAAATATTTTATTTATGTATTTTCCCATATTACTTAATTTATACTCATTCTGTTTCATTTTACTTATCGTTTTAGATTTGTACACACATATAAAAAATATTATAATTTTGTATATTTTCTAGATAAAAACACAATTATCTATATTTCTAATCACATTTTAACCAATATAAAAATAAAATAGTATTAAAAGATAATAAATTTTGCATTTAAATTATAAAACAATATTAATTTTAAAACAAAAATTTATCATACAATAACAAGTAATTTAAAACGGATATAGTACCATTTAGCTATTTTGTTTCATTATATAATTTATACTTGGTGTTTTGTCCGCATTTGCGGGCCTAAAAATTTTATAATTGTTTTATTAATACATCTTTTACTATTTGAAAGATTTAATGATAAATTATTATTTTTGTTTATTTTTTGAAACCAATAATATTTTACTTTAATTTAACAATTCTTACATATATTTCTTTGTAATTTATGTTCACTACTAAAAATAATTTTAAAATCAAATAATATTTTGTTTTCAGTTATATAAAATTAAGAAGTTGACTTGATTAATATTTAGTTATGTATTTTCTCTTGTTTTAATTGTTAACTTTTTTATCAAAATATATTTTCAGATAACATCACAATATATATCAAAATTATCTTATTTAAAAAGATATTATTTATATTTACGATAATTCTTATAATTATTATTAATTTTAGTTACTTATCTAATCAAAATAATTTAAATTCATTTTGTATGTAATTTATATATTATTTTTATTAAGGGTATAAAAGATATTAAACATTCTAATTTTAACTTTTAACGTGGGAGCTCCGCTGCGAAAAATCACTTTGCAAATAATAATATAGATTATTGTAAATGACGCCGGATGTTTCCACTCATCCGAAACGTCATTAGCTACATATATTTGATATACTTTGCCTCTATAAATGTTATTTGACATATGTGGTCATTGCTACTCACATTCAAACGAAAAATAATATTAGGGAAAGACACAATTAAAAGAAGAAACTCTAGCACCTGAAAGTTTATCATTACAGCCAAATTAATTAGGATACTCAACACTTGTTCTCAACCAAATTAATAAAAGAAACGCAACTGATCACACCAAAATCAATCAAACTAATATTTTTAAAAAAAAATTATGTATTTTTGCATATTACTTAATTTTATACCAGTTGCTATTATAGCTAAAAAAAATCAGTTACATTATTATTTTAAATAACGTTTATGTTTCCATTTCTCCAAAACGTCATCACCTACGTATATTTGATATACTTTGCCTCTATAAATGTTATTTGGCATTGTATCATTCCTACTCACATTCAAAACCAAAAATGGATAAAAGATGGAGTCTTCATGACATGACTGCTCTTGTAACTGGTGGAGCCAGCGGAATCGGGTTCGTTTTTTCTACTCTCTAGCTATATCATATCTTTTCCTATAGCTAAATCCCTTTTTTCAATGTAATGTCGATAACTTTTTGTTACATTGTGGACTGTTTTAGGCATGCCATAGTCGAAGAGTTAGCTAGTTTTGGAGCTAGAATCCATGTATGCGACATATCCGAAACACTGCTCAATCAAAGTTTAAGCGAATGGGAAAAGAAAGGGTTTCAAGTGAGCGGTTCAATATGTGATGTATCCTCTCGTCCCGAGAGAGAAACACTGATGCAAACCGTGTCAAAGATGTTCGACGGCAAGCTGAATATTCTTGTAAGTTAATTTTAACTTGATGAACTTAGTATATCCTTATAGTAAAAAAAATTCTATCAAGTAGTGGCATATATAGTAAGATTTTTGTTTCTCTTTTTTTTTTTTTTTTTTCTGCTCAACATAGGTGAATAACGTTGGCGTAGTTCGCGTTAAACCAACAACAAAATATGGGGCAGACGATTTCTCGTTCCATATTTCAACAAACTTGGAATCAGCTTATCATCTTAGCCAGCTTTCACATCCTCTTTTAAAGGCGTCTGGATTCGGTAGCATTGTCATGAATTCTTCTGTTGGAGGGGTTGTATCAATGGAATGCGGATCCCTCTATAGTATAACGAAAGGTGCACCTACTTAAAACTAATCAATGACAAAATACTAAGTAATTTTTATGCATAAAAATGATTTTAGCGTACGTAATAAGTTGCTTTGATTTGGTGTCAAATTTCATAGCTAAAATGGTTATATATATATAGATAGATAAAAATGAATATATATATATATATATATATATATATCTGTGTGTGTGTGTGTGGTGTGTGCACGTATTATGAATATATAGATTCTTAAGTGAACACAGCAGTTATTGTTAAAAGAAAAATTGAATGTCAAAATATAAGGGTTTTCATCCATATATAAGGAGATGTATTTCTTCGTACAGCTTTTTAATTGATTATCCTAATTTATATCTTTGTGTGTGAATGTACAGGGGCTATGAATCAACTAGCACGAAGTTTGGCGTGTGAGTGGGCAGCGGATGGCATAAGAACCAACTCTGTTGCTCCTAATTTTATCCTCACTGATATGACTGAACCTGTAATAAATAACACCCTCCAGTTTTTCTTATCTATTAGTTTTCGCATTAACACCTTGTACTTATGATTCTCATGTCACTGATATGGCTTAACTTGTAATCATTAATCAGCATCTTGAAGACGCGGGGTACAAGAAAAGTTTGTTCAGCAGAACTCCGCTTGGTCGTGCTGGAGAGCCAAAAGAGGTGGCATCACTTGTGGCTTTTTTGTGTCTGCCTGCAGCTTCATATATTACTGGTCAGACCATTTGTGTTGATGGAGGTCTCACTGTCAACGGTTTCTCCTATCAGCAACAGGAGTGAGCCATACTTGTGTGTTTGTTTCTTGATATTTGTCTATGCAAATAAGAGAAAGTAATCCTTCTAGCTGTAGGAACATTATCTCATTTTCCATTTCCACTAGTTCAAGAATCAATGATTCTTTTTACTTTGTTTCCTATATATATAAAGTATATAATAATAATGAATAAAAACAGAAGAACTACGTTTTTTTTTCTAAAGGAAAGTGTTCTTATGTTCGTGACTTCGTGTTACTATGATCCAAGCTTCTGCTAGAACCACCAATTCTAAATTGCCAAAGAATGACGACTTGAGTTTTGACTGGATTCCAAACGATTGATTTGGGAAAAACATAGTGTGCTGTTGGATGAGACATATGAAAGGAAATAATGAATACTACTGAAGAAGTAGTAAACATATACGCTCTACCTTATTGGATGTCAAACTTAAACAAAAGTTAATAATTTTTATAAGAGAAATTACTTAGCTTCACTCTTATTTATTACTTAACTATGTATTTTCTGCATTATTTGCAGTAATAAAATTTTCAAATTTAAATTATATTTTAAAAAATTATTAATATTTAGATTTTCTTATTTTCTAACCAAATATTTTATATAAAATTTATTTTTTTAAATAATATTAAGATAAAATAATAGTTTTGTTATTTTAAATTATATTTAAGAAGATATATATATATATTAAAATTATAAACTTACATAGATTTTTATCTATGTCTTTTGGTTAAAATATATTAAATCAGTTTATAAAATTAAGAAAAAAATTGATATAACTTTTTTATAATTTTCAAAGGTAAACTAAACCATATTTCTAAAACTGTAGGTATAAGAAAGAAACAAAGGGTACTATGTTCAAAATTTTATATTTTTTTAAAAGAAATTGTATAAAAAATTATAATTTTTTAGTAATAAAAATGGTATAGTTATAAAAAATAAAATTTAATAATATATCAAAATTTGAAAAACATTTTTAAATAGTTTTATTATATTATTTAGTATTATATTTGAATAGTTTTACTTTAATGATAATGTATGAGTTATTACCATATTCTAAATAATTTACCAAAAATGTAAATTAAAATGAAATTTAATTGCCTATATGATATATAGCCATAAATAATATCATTATTTTTATCTGTTATGTCATTTTTTTCTAAACAAAAAAAGTGTTATGTCATATTTTCTATTGAAAATATTTGTACAGAGGATACATAAGCAAAGTGTGTGAAATCATTTTGCAAATAATAGCTAGAGGATTGCTAAATGTAACTCTCATGCATTTATATTTCGTTTTACCGTAGTTGAGACATAAAAACCATTGTTATGGCTAACTATTTCGAGGCTACCATTTTAGTTATTCATTTAATTTCGGTAACAAAGTTAGGAGCTGAAAAATAAAAATTATTCCTTTAAACGAGTGGTTTGACGAAACCTAATTAAACACACAACTATTTCGAGGCTACCATATTCTCTGATCAGTGGCCGAATTGGAGCCCAACCAGACATGCCACACCAGGCATATTGGAGCTAACTACATAGTTCAATCCAAGAAACGTATGCGTGATCTCAACAACCTTGAGGACTTTTGTCATGAAACAAATGGACACAGACGGCTAAATCATAAGTATATCATTAGAAAGTGGAATTACAACCAAAAAGAAAAAAAAATAGTGGAATTACCAGAAAAGCTTCATGGACCAAGAATATATGGATTTTTCAAGTCATAACATAAGCTCTACGCATCACCCGATGGACCATATCTTCCAAATTCAAATCCATCGAGGCCCAACAAAGAGCAGTTTTCGACCAAATCTAGTTGTGCACTTGTAGTATTAAATTTAGATTAGAACTCTGAGTGATCAATACTTTGCCTCTATGTTATTTATCATTTATAGTCATTAGTCATTACTACTCATTTGCACACAACTTATGGATAAACAATGAAGTCTTCAAGGCCTCACTGCTCTTGTAAGTTGTAACTGGTGGATCAAGCGGAATTGGATTCATTTTTCTACTCTCTAAGCTCATATCTTTTCCCATAGCTAGTTCCCCTTTTCCAATGCAGTGCGTCGACAATTTTTCTTCCGTTGTGGACTGTTTATGGCATGGCATTGTCGAAGAGTTAGTTGATTTTGGAGCTACAAGATGGGCAGTCAAATCCCTTATATATTAAAGGAGAAACATTTAAAAAATTGTAACCTCAATTTTGTAATAATTAAAAAGACCCCATGCTTAGGTGTCACTCAATTAGGTAGTCAATTACATTCAATTGAAAAATAAGTAGGTCCACATTCGATTTTTATATGTCGCTAGATACATTCGTTGGTCAAATTATATGATATGATGATATGATATAATATTTATGATAGAAGCATTTATGATTTTTCCCCTAGATATAATTACTACTAGGTGATTTTCCCGTGCTCATGCACGGACATAAATATTTATAAAATAAATATATTATAATAATTGATTGATATTCATTTTAAATTTAAATTAATTGATAGTTTTAGGTATAATTTCTATTAATTTAATTATATATAATTTTGATATTTTATATTTCGTCAGTTTTGTTTTTATGGTTGATTTAGTTATCATCTGGATATATTAGATTTTATCTATTTCTCTGAATTCAACTATAATTTTTTTATTCTAAATATATTAAATTTTTGATTAATTTTCTTATTTGCATTTATGTTGTTTGTTATCTTAAAAATATAGGTATATCTAGTAAGATTATGTATAATTTAAGATTTTTTGTGCTTAGAAAGAAAAAAAAAACTAAACTGTCTGATTCTAAATTTTGGAAGCTTATGAACACATATCAATATTTACATACATACTTACATACACAAGTAACTAATAAATTTTTGGAAGCTTATGAACACATTTTAATATTTACAATATTTAAATTGATTAGATGCTAAACTGAAATTTATTTTAAATAATTTTAAAAATAAGGATTCGGATTTGTTTAAGTATTTTTATTATGATTATATTAAGTCCTACAAACATAAAAAAAAAATCAAAAAGAGTTATTAAGAAAACATATAAGTTTAAATATTAAAATATAATATTTCTACTTCTTTAATTTATATAGTGTTATGATATTTTAAAATAATTTTAGTTTGATCAAAAAAATGTTTATTATTAAAATTTATTTTTAGTTTTTAATATCTCTTAAAATATGCAGTAAAACTTTTATTGTTTTTGAGAAATTATATTATATAAGTAAAATAAAATTTAAATTTTTCTGTAATTGTAAGATATTATAGTCAAATAAATATACTAAAAAATAAAATAAAAAATATTACAAGAATACTAATTATAAAAGAATTTGCCAGTTAAACATATATCAGTTTATGTTACTTAATTATTTTATGTAAGCATCTAATAAAATGGATAGATATATACAGAAAATAATTACTTTGAAAATATATATATATATATATATTTATTGTTTAAAATTATTTTTTTAAAGAAAAAAAATATTTCTTTTTCTAATATCAAGATTAGTAGTGTGAACTTTTTTTATGGAATCACATTATATACAAATATTTTTTTATCTAATAAAATATAGATATAAAGTGTTTTATTACTTCAAAAGTATATTTTATGTTATTTAAAATATGTTTAAATTAAATTAAATATTACTGTTTTTTGAATTTTCCTTTTTTATGAAACCATCTATATATATACTTATATTTTCGTTTTTAAATAGTTTTGTAAACTTTATAAATGTTTTTTATTTGATATTGTTATTTGGAAAATTGTTTAAAGGATATACTTATATTTTCGTTTTGAAATAGTTTTGTAAACTTTATAAATGTTTCATTTTTTTATATTGTTATTTGGAAATTTTTTAAAAGGAAATAATAATATTTAAATGTTTTTTTTAATTCATTAAGGGTATCATAGTAATCAACCAGCGTGAAAGTTAACGTGAGCGCGACACATAAGAAAGTGATTTCTCAAATAATATTATAGAGATTTTATTTACCTTCCATAAATAAAACCTACGGAATTACCATAAATGACTATTATATATATATGACACTTAATGATTCTAATAATAAATATTTGATAACAGTTTATATATCCTCGATCATTTTTCTTTAATTTTATATTATTAAAATAAATTAAACAATCAAATTAGCTATAAAATTAAACTTTAGATTTTTTCGTATAGGTTATATTTTGAATTTTAAAAAACGAGAATAAATAACTAAACTATTAAAATTATTATGTTAAAAATTAATGATCAATAGTTTAACATTTTTATTATAAAAATATATACATGATTTTAAAACCATATAAGTAAAAAGTATCATTCAATAATAAAACAAATATATATACAAATTAAACTATATACCATATAAGATTACATAAATATTTTAATTTCAAAATCCTCAATAAATTTTCAAGAACATTTATAAACTATAAAATTATTAAATAGATATATATATATATATGTCAATATTTTCTATAGTTTTTGGTAGAGTATCTTTTTTTACATTTATCTGTATTAAATATTTGCTTAATATAACATTTATATAGGGCTGGGAAAATAATTCAAATTCGAAGATCCGAATCGAATCCGATCCAAAACGTACTACCAAATCGAACCGAAATTGATTAAATATTCCAACAAATTTAAATTTTGGTATTTAGAGAACTAAACCTGATCCGAATCGAAATATTATGGGTACCCAAATGTATCTAAAATATATTTATATACATGAATATATTAATTATTTTTAGATTAAATATATATTAAAACATCCAAAATATATAAGATACATTTAAATTATCCAAAATACTTAAAAATATATATAAGTAGTCAAAAGTAAATGTCTAAAATAGCTAAATTATACTCAGAACACTAAAAATACTTAAAATATCTATTGACTCTCTATCCAAATATTCAAACTAAACCAATTTATATGTTAGTTTTAGATATTTAACATATGTTATTCAAATTTATATGAAATATATTATTTTGTTTATAGATTTTGAGAAATTTAAAGTGTATAAGAAATTTTACAAATTTTAAATAATCTAAATGGGTTATCCGAACCCGAGCCGAACCTGCAAAGATCTGAACCGAATCCCAACCAAAATTTATAAATATCTGAATAGAATTGAAATCTTTGACTCCGAAAACTCGAAAACCTGAATAGACCCACACCAAAACCCGAATAGATTAATTTATACACCAAAGTTTTTTTTATATGAGTAAATTTTATTTATTTACCTAACTGTTAATTTTTATTTATTTATCTAACTGTCGCATTGACATATAGATATAGTTATATAAAATATGCATGAAGAACATATTTAAAAATAATTTTTATTTAATATATTTTTAAAAATTGTTACATGGGTTTGTAAAGTTCTATTTATTAGTAATAAATATTAAGGAATAGATTATAATACTCTAAAGAATATTTTGTTGAACAATTGTCCATGTCTACGGTGAGATCATATCGTGAATTGCAATATATAGGGAGAAGATAAAACCAATATGCTTGATAAATATGGTAATGTCTTATTAAAATGTTTAGTGAGGTACCTACAAATAAGGCATGTTACATTAAAGGGAATATCTATAACTGATTTGATATTATTAGGCCTTAGGATTTGTTTTAATGTTAGTGGCAATCTCTTGTAAATATTTAGAAAAGTTAGGGTTAAGTTTTAATTGTATTTCAGTTTTAATAGATTAGATTTGTAAATAGCTAATAATTTATTACAACTTAGACTTTTTATTTTGATCTTTTACTTTTTTAACAGTAACTAAATTGGAGTAAAGATTATAAATTTGATGGACAACAATTAATTGAAATTCTTTACAATTTTTTTTATCTTTAAACAAACAGTGTTGTGTTCAATCGAATACATATTGGTTTGATGAACACTAAATATGGAAGAATATAAAAACTTTTCTTTCATGGTTCTGTTTTGTTTTTTATTTTTATTTTCAGAATTTAGTGTTTTGATATTAATTCTAGATTTGATCATTTTATTAGATGATAGAAGCCTTTTTTGTTTTTTATTCTTTATTTAAATATATAATATTTTTTTAATAAATTACTCTGTGACAATATGACTCTAAATATGATCATATTATATATTTGTATAATATATAATATGATCTCAAACTAAATAATCATGTTTTTTGGTATAAAATTGAATAAACTGAAAACCGATGGTATATAAACCAAATCAAACTGAAGTACATATAGATTTAGAATAGTAGTTATATTTTAATAATCGAAATACCAAAAAATCGAGCCGAACCGAAACCCGATATCCGGATTGAATACCTCTAATCCGAATGAAACCGAACTATTGTTTCATTTTTCAAAACATAATAAAAAATAATAGTTTCATCCCGCGTAAGGTGCGGGTCTTATCCTAGTACATAAATAAAAAACGTGCATCAGTCAGACGATTATAGGAAAGAGAATCGAGACGTAAAATTAATAGAAGATACTCAACACTTGAGTGTTTATTATTACAGCCAAATTATTTTTTTTTTAAAAAGAACTCAACACATGTTCACACTCAAATTAATAGAAAAGCAAGGAAAAGTGAGAGAATGGAGAGACAAGTCCCTAAAAATATGGAAATGGTTGCGTGACAACCAATGAACTTTGAGCTCCAACCAACGAACGATCACACATCAGCTTCACAACCTTCTCCAGTTCACAGCTTTGCGATTATTGAAGCAGGCAAGTTTTTTCTTGGTGGAAGCTTTAGATCCTCCCATCCATCCTCTTCAACCATTCTCTTGAAGTACTTGTCTACCATGGTATCCTTCATTTCCTCCAGCCGCCGTGGCACCCACTGTAGTTCAACATATGTCATTATATCAACAAATATGACATAACAATAAACAATAAATATATATATAGTTTTTGTTAAACCTTTGGGTTCCTATCTTTGTCTATGATTACGGCTCTGGAACCCTGCATAGTTAAACACGTTGTTGTAATGATCTCTACAAAAAAAAAAGACAGTTTCAGAATAAAGATACACAATCAGGAAAGAGACAAAACCTCCACAAAATCTTTGCTTATGTCTCCTTTCACCGCATGACACACCATTCTATACTCACGGGTAATACACTGCCCTATCCCCTGGTATCGTCCTTCTCTTATCTGAAATTTCATACACAAAGTCAGTTCCATCCCATTATTGCACGTCACACATTTTGAGGAACTAACCGATCTGAGAGAGATTTTAAGGCTTGCTGGTGATGCTTTCTTCAAAGCTCCAATGGTAGCTGAGATCCATTTATCTGGTTCATTAGTGGCCTCTCTCTCCTGACCAACACATATGATGGTATAGTGCATTGTCAAAGATAACTCAGTCAACTAAGGAATGAATGCATACCAACTTTTCCAATACATAAATGAAAAAACTTACAAGTGCAGATATAATCTCTTCCATTGTTCTTCTTGAGAAGCATCTATCAATAACATCTAACCTGCATAAAGAACAAAAAAAAAAAATATGAGATACAGCCAACAAAAAAGAGGCATTTTTTACTGTTAAAGAACGATTAGCTCATACCGGTACAAGGCTCAAAATATTACTTGAAAATGCAATCATGATCATATATAGAGAATTTGTTTTAGTACTTGACCTAGAATGCTTGCTATGTTGCCAAGACAAAAGATATCCAGCGAACTCAAAAATACAAGTAAAAGGAGTAGATGAGGTAAAATAATATGAACTTGCCTGTTGTAAGCACTATGCGGTTTCATGTTCGGATGCTGAGCGTATGCATTGAGGATTTTTGAGGCAAAGGTAACTGGATCACTTGAACCAACTTTGCAAAGATCTGCTTCTAACGCAGCCAACATCTGTGACATTAATAATTAACCTTACTAAGTAAAAAAATCCTTGTTAAAGAAAATAGTGGTTTGCAAACAGCCTGAAATGTAATAGCCTTTAGCATCTCAAGGAAACAGAGACATTAAAGTTTTTTACAGACTTCAAGTGTGGTTATTGACACATGTTACAACAGTCAACGTAGACCATCGAGCCAGATAAAATAAGCATCATGAACAAGATGACTTCAAAGAAATATAACGATAGACTAGAGTTTGAGAAATGCTTGGCCCCTCATTGTTTTTATTGAGTGGCGCAGCGTACGAATGGGTGAACGGTCGATCTAAGAATTTAGGGTTCTTTGAGACCTGTTCTTGGATCGATCAAGAGTTACTTGCGTTAGCTTCTTGAGACCAACTTCCTGTTTGATGAATTGAATCGAATCGAACAAGGTATAAAAGCAAAAGCTATTGTATTAAATCAAACGTGCTGAATAAGAAACACCTAACGTTGTTTATATAGTCGTTTTTAAGACACAAACCGTCTTAGAAAAGGACTATAGAAAAGCAAAACCTAAATAGAAAAGGAAATTCAAATTGAACAGAAAATTAGGAAAGATGCTATGTTGCCGCCTAGTTAGTAGTAGCTCCTGCATCAGGTCCCCCGGGGTTAGAAGGATTCGACCCCGAATCGATGGCGGTATCCGGCGAATGATAAGGAGACAAATACTTAACGTTGAAAACATCGGAAGTGGTGATATGTGGAGGAAGAGCTACACGATAAGCATTGTCGTTTATCCGCTCTAAAACCTTCAATGGACCAATCTTCTTAGCTCTAAGTTTATTGTATAGGTGCGCCGGCATGCGATCCCGAGTCAGCACAGCCCAAACTAAGTCACCTACATCAAAGACAAGACGCCGACGATGTGTGTCTGCTGCAGCTTTATAACGGGATGTTGAGGCAGATAAATTTGCAATGGTTTGGGCATGAACATCCGAAATGGCGTCAACAAACGTAGAGGCATCGCCATGCAAACGTGTAAGATCAGGTAAGGAAGATAAATCCACTGGTGCACGCGGAGCAAACCCGTAATTAACGACAAAAGGACTAAGACCGGTACTGCGATTAATGGCATGGTTGTGGGCAAATTCTGCCTGCGGAAGACGTTGATCCCATGTTGTGATAGCGTCACCAACAAGACACCGTAAAAGATTACCAAGAGAACGATTAACCACTTCGGTTTGACCATCAGTCTGAGGATGATAAGCCGAACTCATATCTAGGCTTGTGTCGAGCATCTTCCATAAAGATCGCCAAAAATGACTAAGAAAACGAGAATCGCGATCTGAGACAATAGATGACGGCAATCCATGCAGCCGATAGACTTCGCGAAAGAACAAAATAGCCACCTGAACCGCGTCCGTGCTCTTCTTACAAGGAATGAAGTGGACCATCTTGGAGAAGCGATCCACAACAACAAAAATAGAATCAAATCCCCGCTGAGTACGAGGAAGACCAAGGACGAAATCCATGCTTATATCAGTCCACGGTTGTGTCGGAATCGGTAAGGGAAGGTATAATCCTGCATTAGAGGCCGATCCCTTAGATTGTTGACAAACAACGCACCTCTCCACAAAACGAGAGACATCTCGACGGAGAGATGGCCAAAAGTACGATGCGGCCACGAGCTGGTGAGTACGATCGCGCCCGACATGTCCCTCATTGTGCAACTCTGTAATCAACTTAAGACGTAAACTGCCAGTTGGAATGCACAATTGACTTCCGCGGAAAAGAAATCCATCGTGCAACACGTACTCAGACGAGAGACCATCCTTTGCATCGCGAAAAAGTGGACCAAAATAAGGATCATCTTCATACTGTCCTATAAGCGACGATAACCCCAAGACTTCAGTGTGCAAAACCGTAAGTAATAGCTGGCGTCGGCTAAGAGCGTCTGCGACTCTATTAGAAGAACCCGCCGTATGCTTTATCACAAAAGTGAATTGTTGCAAGTATGCAATCCAAGATGCGTGTCGTGCGGATACTTTTTGCTGACTGTGAAGATGTTTCAGGGCGTCGTGATCGGTGTATAAGACGAACTCCTTGTGAAACAAGTAATGCCGCCAGTGTTTGATAGCTTGTACGACAGCGTAGAACTCAATGTCATAGGTGCTATATCGATAACGTGCACCGGCTAATTTTTCACTATAGAATGCAATTGGTCTGGACTTTTGACTTAAGACTGCTCCAATACCTGTTTTAGATGCATCAGAGTGAAGCTCAAAGACAGTGTTGAAATCGGGGAGTGCGAGGATCGGTGCAGAACTGAGTTTATCTTTGATAGCGGCGAAGGCAGAGGAAGCCGCGGGAGTCCAAGAAAAAGAATTGGTGCGGATACAGTCTGTTATTGGTGCCATTAATCCACTGAATTGAGGTACGAAACGTCGATAAAAGGACGCAAGACCATGAAAACTCCGAACTTCTGAAATTGTCGTTGGCTGGGGCCATGTCTGGATTGCAGATACTTTTGCAGGATCAACCGCAAGTCCCTGAGAAGACACGATATACCCAAGAAAATGAATTTGTGGTGACCCGAACTCGCACTTCTTTAATGTTGCGTATAGCTGATCGCGGCGAAGAACTAAAAGAACTTCACGGAGATGCGCAAGGTGATCGGTGATAGACTTGCTGAAGACGAGTATATCGTCAAAATAGACGACCACAAAACGCCCAATAAAAGGCCGCAAAGCTTGATTCATAACGCGCATGAAAGTACTAGGAGCGTTCGAGAGACCAAAGGGCATGACAAGCCATTCAAAGAGACCTTCACGAGTTTTAAATGCGGTCTTCCACTCATCCCCTGGTCGTATACGGATCTGATGATACCCGCTTTTGAGGTCCAGTTTGGAAAACACTGTTGCTGTACCAATTTGATCTAAAAGATCATCAAGTCGTGGAATCGGGAAGCGATACCGAACTGTGATTTTGTTAATGGCACGGCTGTCCACACACATACGCCAAGAGCCATCCTTCTTTGGGATTAACAACGCAGGTACTGCACAAGGACTAAGACTCTCACGCAAGAATCCTTTGGCCACTAATTCTTCAACTTGTCTGCGCAATTCTTCGTGTTCGGCTGGACTCATACGATAATGAGAACGATTGGGAAGCGCAGCATCGGGTATCAGATCAATGCGGTGTTGAATATCACGCAGTGGAGGGAGAGAAGATGGTAAGTCAGCCGGGAAAACATCAGAGAACTCGGAGAGTAAAGATGTATACGGGGCGGGTATCGCAGGTCCATTTATCGTAGAGGATGGAATTGCGAGAAGCAGGAAAAAATGATCTGTCGTGGTAAGAGCTTCTTTTACTTCTGCTGGTCGTAACAACAAAACTGGATTTGGTGTTGTATTTGAAGAAGTAGAAGGTAACGCAGGAAGTGTCGGTTTAAGCGTAAACGTGCGATCATTGAACCGAAAAGTGTATGTGTTAAGGAATCCATCATGAATGACACGTCGATCAAACTCCCACGGGCGTCCTAACAGGAGATGGCATGCGTCCATAGGGACAAGATCACAATACACTTGGTCTTTATAAGCTCCACCAACCGAAAACTGAACTAGAGTGCGTCGAGTGATGATGAGTTCGTTTCCTTGATGTAACCAACCGAGTTTATAAGGCGATGGATGTGGTTCGATTGTGAGATTGAGTCGTGGTACAGCCTCCTCAGCAATGACATTTTCACTGCTTCCTGAGTCGATGATGAAAGTGCATACTTTTCCATTAATAGTACATCTCGAGGAGAACAGGTTCTTTCGTTGCGGATTTTCATCGGGTACCCGTGGAGAGAGACAAGTGCGACGCATCATTAGTAAAGTACCCTCATCAGCCTCTAGTTCCTCCGTATTCTCGTCTACTTCATCATGATGTTCGTCATAGATAACCTCAACGTCACGGCCCGTGGTGTCAAGTAGCAGACCACGACGATTGCGGGACGGACATGCTGACTGACGATGGCCAAGTTCTCCGCAAGAAAAACAACGTAACCCACCAGGTCGTTGTTGTCGTTGCTGATCACTAGGAACGATGGCTGTGTCTGTTTTAGAAGGGGGATTATCGGTAGTCGGTGGCGTAACAGATGTTGTGCCAGTGCGAGATTGTCGATTGGAGCCCCAAGGCGTAAACCCTTTCTGTGACTGTGTCTCTACTGTTAATGCCTGTTGATGAGCTTCGGAGATCGTCTGGGGTCGAAAAAGGTTAAGTGGAAACTGAATTTGTTGTCGTAGACCTCCGATAAACCTCATAACCAATTGTTGTTCGGTATCTTGAATTTCGACACAATTGATCATGCGAAAAAATTCCGTTGCATATTCATCAACTGAGCGTTGTCCTTGTCGCAAGTTTTGCAGTTTTTGGAACATTAATTGCTCGTAATTGTACGGCAGGAAGTTCTTTTTCATCTCGCGTTTCAATTTATCCCATGTCTGGATTTTAGTTTTGCCGAGGCGTGCACGAGTTGACTTGTTTTGCGACCACCATGCCGCTGCACGATCTCGAAAACGAATTGCCACTAAAGGAACACATCGATCAAGCGGGATTTCTTTGAACTCGATGATTTCTTCGACGGTGACGATCCAATCTAATAATTCTTCGGCTACGGTTGTACCCTTGAATTCCGGGATGTCAACCTTACAGCTCTTTTTCCATGTAGAATCGTTGAATTCTTCCTCGGAATCTGAGTCACGGTTGTTGTTGAGGTTGCGACGTGGGGCTTGACGGTGAAGTGGCGCGAACGGATTGTCGTCAGAGTCGGAGTCGTTGGGGATGGAGAGTTGATCGTTGCGGTGATGGCGGGGTGAACGATGTCGTGGTGATCTGTTACGGCGGTGGCGAGGCGAGACGACGTGTTGTTGTTGCTGAGTTGTCAAAGCTGTGACGGCTGTGACAAGATTGCGGACGAGGGCTTGAAGTTCGGTAACGGATTGTTGTGTTGCGGGGGCTTCGTCTTCGGGAGGTTGTTGAGAACGTGTTTTTCGAACCATTGTATGTGGTTAGCGGGTTTCGGAGCGTAGCAAAGCTCTGATACCAACCTGGCGCAGCGTACGAATGGGTGAACGGTCGATCTAAGAATTTAGGGTTCTTTGAGACCTGTTCTTGGATCGATCAAGAGTTACTTGCGTTAGCTTCTTGAGACCAACTTCCTGTTTGATGAATTGAATCGAATCGAACAAGGTATAAAAGCAAAAGCTATTGTATTAAATCAAACGTGCTGAATAAGAAACACCTAACGTTGTTTATATAGTCGTTTTTAAGACACAAACCGTCTTAGAAAAGGACTATAGAAAAGCAAAACCTAAATAGAAAAGGAAATTCAAATTGAACAGAAAATTAGGAAAGATGCTATGTTGCCGCCTAGTTAGTAGTAGCTCCTGCATCATTGAGGCCTTAACCTATATATTGGGGTCAATATACCAAAATTGACCATCTATGCTAGTAATTCTTTCAATAATTACATATAACTAATTTAACCTTCCAACAAAAAATATCTATATACATCAAATTATGCTATTAAGCATCTACAAAAAATATTTACATACAACAGTAAAGACGTAAGCAGTAGAAGTTAGTACCGTTGAAGGCACAAAATGAGTTGCAAGACCACAAGCAAGCATTTCGGCCCCATCTAACCTAGCTCCAGTGAGGCCAACATACTCTCCTGAATAAGAAGACATGCATGAACGATGAGAAAAGAAGATAGGCTCAATATTTTTTCTACATCCAAAAACAAATTACTTTTATTACCAAAAAATCCAGGGAGCCTTGACAAGAAGTATGAGGCGCCTACATCTGGAAAGAGCCCCAGTTCTGTCTCAGGCATGGCAAAAACCTTGAAAAAAAATAAACAAAAGTATGAGCATGTTTCAGAGCTTGCTATCTACTTGTCAACCATGAGTATGTTCAAGAAAAGAAAACTATACCGTCTTCTCAGTTGCAATACGGAACCGACCATGGACGGAGATACCAGCTCCGCCTCCCATGACAATACCATTTAAAATTGAAATCTATAAACTCAAAAAATTATGAAAAACGAATTAGGCTAAAAGGAATTACACCAAAGCTGGATCTGGATCCTAGAATCAAGTAAACATTTAATATTGCTATTTCAAGTAAAAGCCTTTTTTAAAAAATGAATTCAAGTAAACATTTAATATTGCTATTTTATACTATATCCGGTCAAGTTTCGTTTTGCAATTTAATATATTCATCAGTAATATTACTTTTTTGGTTATTGCTATTTTATACTATATCCTGTCAAGTTTCGTTTTGCAATTTAATATATCCATCAGTAATATTGCTATTTTTTGGATAAAAGATAACAAAAAAAAAGCAATATTACTGATGAATATATTAAATTGCAAAACGAAACTTGACAGGATATATAAAAAATAGCAATATTAAATGTTTACTTGAATTATTTTTTAAAAAAGGCTTTTACTTGAATTCATAATAAAGTATTTTATGACGGGTATTTTGAAAAGTTCTCCAACGTTTTAAATTACATTTTTGTGATATATCCTTTATTTATTGTATAACATGTAATTATTATATAATATATAATATGAAAAGGCCAGATATACGAATCTTTAAATCGAGTTTTATTTTCATTAATATATCCTATTTTGGATCCAATTAAATTGGATTTCCGACCTCATACCTGAACTTTGCTATACGTGGCCATGACATAGTCGAGCGTGTATTGAGCTGAGAAGAAATCGGCACCGATTCTCCATGACTTGCCTAGTCCACGAAAATAGAAAAGAGTATTTAGAAGCTAAAACTAAGCAGGCAAAGAACGTGGAGGGTGGAGATATGATATACCATGTATAATGATGTCACGAAAAACAGGTGTAGCATCGCCACCAACACAAAAGGCTCTTCCCTGACCCTGTGGCAAAGATATTCAGTGTGTGCAAACTGGAAGAGATTAAAAAAAAATACTGGAAGAGATAAGGATAAAGATTACTTTTAGGATGACGAGTTTCACATTAGGGTCTTCCTCAAATGCAAGGAACAGTTGCAGCAACCGGGTGATCTAGATAAGATTTATTCAAGCCAAATATGTAAATTAGTGCACCAAGGGAGGAGGCAACAACAAGGGAAAAATTCAATACCATGTTGGAGTTTAGAGCATTCAGTTGCTTTGGTCTGTTTAGTGTCAAGATCTTAACACTAGATTTATCTTCCACTAAAACCTGTTAACAAAATTGGTTTAGGAGAGATGATAAAAAGTGAGCGTTGTAGATTCGTAGCAATGATGGGAAAGAAACCTGAGAGTGTGAGGCCATCTCGACTGATGTTGCTGAATGATTCTGAGTAAATATTATGAGATGAGTGATTCTTGGTAGACACTAAGCACACATTTATAGTGTTCCAAAGTGGTTTGATTTCTTATAAAAATCAAATTTGAGTGTTACATCTTCAAAATAATAATTTTCCGGTTTTCTAGACAGTCAATAATTAAGCTAATTATTTATTGTTTATTACTACTATCTTTGCATAAACATTTTCACATTATTTGATGTGAAGGCCCTCTAAATTATTTGGCTTTGAAGTATTATTACATCAAAAGTAGTCTAAATTGTAATTTATATATGTATATATGAAGGTTTTAGTACTTACATGACTAGTAATTAGCTCTAATAAGTACTTCTTCAATTCATCTCTTTCAAAAAAAAATAAAACTAATATTAACTATTCATAATTTAGAACAATTAAATTAACAATTATAACTAAATATTTTCATGAGACTATTTTAATTTATTTATAGTTACATATTATATAGAGTTTTGTGATTCTTATGAAATACTCTTACACCTAACAAAATTATAATTAGCTGGAAGACATGTGCCAGTTACTTGATTATTTTTAGATAAAGTTAAGTTTACAAGCTAAACCACTACAGTATTATATTACTAACGCCTTTTCTCAAAGAAAAAATCCATTATTATATTATAAGTCTCTCGTGGAAAGAAACTAACAGGAAACAACCCAGAAAAGAATTTATTATAATAAAAACTAGATTTTTGAGAAAGCGCGGATATCATTTTTGTTATTTTATTTACAAAGTTTTTTGCTTTGATGATAAAAAAATCTAATTATTTAATATAACTTAAAAAAATTAGTATAGATTTTAATTTATTGTTATCATCAATATCTATGAAAATATATTATATATAAGTGTGTAGTTTTATTTTAGAAAAAATAATACCAATTAACTACGCTTGGTACTGGGAAGCGGGTCAAACTCGGCCTCCTCGACCCACCTGGCCCGTAAAGAAAAATATATTTTATCCGCATCCGCCCCACTTAATTTTGCAGGTAATCTGCGAAACCCGCAGATAATTATTAAATAATAAACATATTTTTTTATTTTTTTATAAAAATAATATTAAATGGTATATTTTTAATTAAATTTTTAGTATTTAAGAAATATAATTATTTTAAATGAAATTTAGTATATTTTTAAAAAATAATTTTGTAACGATTCAAGTTCTGAGGCCCAGCAAGATTTAGGCCCAATGCAGGAAACCCTAGGTGAGATCCTATTTAAACACCCATAGCCTCCTTATTTTATTCAGAAAAGTCTAAAGCATCGAATCTCTGCAGAAACTGAGCCGTCGTTGAGATCAGAGATCGCCCAGCCTCACACATCGTCGATCGAGACCGGAGCCACCACTGTACGACCGCAAATCGTCGAAGGTAACCATGGAACCACTTTTTCCGATTTGCCTTTATATGGCCGTACGTTAAACCGTCGATAACTCTCTAACCACTCGTCGTATCGAAAAATCTAAGGCCATCAGTGTGTTCCTCTCGCCGAGACGAGTCCGGAGGACCAAGCCTAGTCTGAGACCCGCCGCCACGCGCCCTCACGCGCGGCCAGAAGCTCAGCGCGTGCATCTCACGCGCCGTCACCGTCCACCACCGCTGCCGCGCGTGACCTCCACGCGCCACCATCTTCCATCGCCGTTCGCCGGAGCCGCCGTCGCCGACCACCGTTCGTACGCCGCCGGGAATCTATCGCCGCCGGTGACTTTTCCGGTAAGCCGTCGCCGCCGCCGGCGACCGGTCACCGGTGACTCGCAGGTCGACTCGCCGGATCGCCGGTAACTCAGTGACTCGGCCGAGTTGACTCAGCGAGTCAACTCGTTGACCGGTCCAACCGGTTGGTTTGTTGATTCGATTGGATTTGGTTTTGGTTAGGCTAACCGGTCGGTTTAATTGAATTGATTTTGGTTTGGAGTTAAAATTGAAATTGATTTGATTCTGGTCCAATTGAAATCGAATTCGGTTAAGGAAAACCGGCGGTTCAATTCGATTTCAATCTGGTCAAGGGTTGACCAGCTTGGGTCATAGTTGACCGGGTTGACCTTTGACCAGCGAGTTGACTTTTTGACCAAACCACCGGTTATCCGTTTTTAATCGTTTGAAGGGTGTTCTTACTCGATTTTTCGCCCTGATTTCAGATTTGGAGTCTGTTTGAGCACCAGGAGTTCACATCTACCACTTTTCACACTTTGCTAAGGTGAGGGTCTAATCCGTAACTCCCGTACCAGTATAGAATTCTTCCTATCGTAGTTTAGATTTCGAAGCATGATCCGTCTGTTTGAATTGAGTCTGTTGAGTCTTGATTGCTAGTAAGTTCATTCATTGTAAATTGGAATTAGGGGTCTAGAGGATTCAACCATTGATTGGATTGTGTGATGTTAAGAGTTGCTATATATATATATATATATATATATATATATATATATATATATATATATATACATACATAGTTATGAGTAGGGACTATGTGGGAGGGCGGGGGTTCAGGGATGCCTGGACTATCGACGCAACTTTGGAGGGCAAGGCTCAGAGACGTCTGGGCTAGCGACGCAACTGTGTGGTGCGCGGTGCAGAGACGTTTGCATTCGACGCAGATTTGGAGGGCGGGGGCACAGAGACATACTGTACTAGCGACGCAGCGTATGATATATATTTATATATGGAGATGCGTGGTGTGTGGTCTAGTTATGCACTATCAGCGCATTGTTTGTTCTTTGTGATGTCTTAGGTGTCTTGATTGTTCATGTTAGAGCTAAACTTCCATAGTGGGAGTTCTATTTACTCAAGTCAGTGATTTGCGTGGTTAGCATCACATACCTCACTGAGTGACTCCCCTGTTACTCTCTCCTCTTTCTTCCCCCATTTCAGGTGATATTGACGATCAGGAGTGATCATTTCGGATTGGTGCTTTTGGGAGTTTTATTTATTTATTTTCAAACTTATTTTTATCGTTATTTTGAGATTTATTATGTTATTTGGATTTGTGGAGTTCGGAGATGATTTATGCGATTTAATAAATGGAGATTTCAGACATTTTATTTATTTTATTATTTTGGAAAATGCGGGTGTTACAAGTGGTATCAGAGCCGAACCCCGACGAGTGTGGAGTTAGTGAGGGCTCACACTAACAGGGTAACGATCTTGGGGCGCAACACGGACGTTGTGTTCTTTGAGAGGGGGTGAATTGTAACATTCCGGTTTGTGGTATTTGGAAAAGGCTTAAGAGAATTGATTTGGCTACCTATGTCACTAAAGTGCACTTACCTTTCCGGAGCGCATCCAGAGAGAACTCCAAAGTTAAGCGTGCTTGAGCTGGAGTAGTCAAAGGATGGGTGACCTATCGGGAAGTGATTTGCGATACCGTGTAAGTGAGGCCAAAGCACGGGGAAAGGTCGGGTGGTGATTGCAGGGTCAGTAAACATGACTCTAGAACCTTAAAAAATTAACGGACCGATCGTTGGAACGGGATGGGGCCCACGGGCCGAGAGAGCGGGCGTGGGTGGCCCCTATTAGCCGTGAACGGTCGGGGCGTTACAAATTTTTTTGTAAAATCTATTTTTGCGGATTACCCGGTACCCATAATTGAATTAGAACAATCCACATCCTCCTGCGTAAAATACACTTGACCCGCACTCGCACCCACAACTTAAATTTTCCAAATTGATCGACATGTTCCGTGGCGAGTCAAAACTAAACGTGTGGGTTAATATCATAATTTTTAGTTCTAACTAAACCAATTAAGACTGATGTGTTTATTTTTGAAAGAAACTACATAAATAATTAAAAGGTGAATTTAATCTATTAATAAAATTATTATTATATTATTAACGAGATGAATGTATATATGGGAGCCTTTCAGCTCGTTGCTTACACTCCTAGATCTTCACGGTTATTATATATGCAATGATATGAAAAGACACTTAAGGCATATGGTTTTCCCAGCCACCAAACTCAAAAACATATAATAAGACAAAATAGTTTGTTTATTTTTGGATCGGATCTCACAACTCTTGCATCTTGTTCTGATCTTGTTTGAAAGTGTAAATATTAGTAGTAAGATGAATTTAGAGTGTTATAAATCTTGATTTTGCTTGCTCATCTTTCACTGTAAAATGAACAAAGATATTTGAAACTATAATTTATTTATTTATTTCAGTATTACCATAAGATTCTAAAAAAATAAATTAATAAATTTAATTGTAAATTGATATATAGCGATATGAATTTGAATAACGATATCAGAGTCTAATTGTATAGTACTTATATTAAATCAGGTTTGATGTATATATGATTTACATACCAATAAGTATGACTTTCAGCATATATGAATTTTGCATGATGAATGTGATTGTATTGCACTTTTAAAGTAAATTTTTACTCTACTTTTTTAGTAAATTCCACTAAAAATACATCAATTAAGTGAAACCTAATATTTTTATTTTTACTCCAATTACTATTTAAAATGTGGGAAACGCACACTCGCTTTTCTTCTGTGTTTTGCTGGAGTAATGAGGTTTTCATTTTTTTTTTCTCTTTCTTGTCCTCTAATCACACTCGATGTGTGCGAATATTTTATACGATTGAATTATGAAGATTGTAAGAAAATAATCATATTATAATTGCTCTCTGTGAAAGGGTAAAATGAATGATTCCGTCTAAACATGGACTCGTGGATATCCTTGCTTTAAACATGGAAAATGAATGATTCCGTTTCCAAAAAAATAAATAATAATAATAATTTCTATCAGAATATAAATTTGGTCAACGAGAGTCATGGCCATCCAGAATTATGCGTAGAGCATTTCCAAGGAGCTCTTTAATCTTTATCTCTCTATTTTTTTTCAAAGATTTTGCATTCTAACAATCTTTTATTACTTTATTATTAAAAAAAGTGAAGAGTAACTAGGACTGGGGAAAAAATCAGAATCCAAAGAACCGAACCGAATCCAATCCGAAAAATTAG